GAGGGGAGAAGTGTTCCTTCTTTTTTCTGCTTTAATTGTTTGATATAATTTATCAGTTAAAATGTTTATGAGCCTGCTGTTGTCCAGCCCTTTTTATTTTGAGACGGAACCTCACCAAGTTGTCCAGGCTGAGATCCTCTCGAATAGCTTGGATTATGGGGTGTGCACCACCTTGCCTGCCTCCCCACCTTTCTTTTTTTGATGAGATCTTCCTGTGTTGCCCACATTTGCCTTGAATTCCTGGATGCAAGTGGTCTTTCTGCCTCAGCCTGGGACTACAGGCCTGAGCCACTACACCCATATTTCTTCTAAATACTTTTAATGATGTAGATATCACATTTGTTAAATATTTTTAATGCTGTTTCTATTTTTTTTTTTGCTTTTAAGTGAACATTTCATATAACTCCATATTCTTTCCTTACCATATCAATTACACTTATCTGGTGTTCCAGATAAACTGGTGCACCAGAAGCTGGGATCTAGATGCTGCCTACAGAATATACTCATGTACATAGCCCATCTGCAGGGCAGCAAGGTCCCTGTTAGCCTAGGCTCGGGGTCCTCTCTCTTCCAGGTCAGATCCCTTCTAAGCAGTGCAGGAGCTAACTCCTGGGAGTGCTTGGCTGTGTGGCTCCTTCTGTGTGGGTGACCTCTCCAGGATTCATGGCAAGTCCAGCCCAAGGGCAAGCCAAATTCCACCTAGAAGGGTGGGACCCAAGGGGATGAGGTCCCCAATAGAGGCCTGAGTCAGTGTTTGTCTCCTTGGTTTCCTTCTCTTGGATTTAAGAATGACTCTCAAAGCAATTTCCATCCTTTACAAATACAAGAAGCTCATTTGTGGACCGGGGATTTAGCTCAGTGATTCCGGCGCCTGCCTGGCAAGCGCCAAGTCCTGAATTTGATGCCCGGTACCCCCCTACACCAAAAAAGCTCATTTGTAAGCAAATTGTTTAGAACAATGTTAAGTGACAGATGGGTTCTAGAAAGCTCTATTTAATGCAGAGCTAGTTCTTGCAGAAGTTAATATCCTGATGGTCACTATCCTAAGGACCTCTCCTCTTTTTCCTTTTCAGTTATTTCCCACCACTCATCTACTAACCCGAGTGTTCTGTTTTTATTTTTCTTCATACTAAAAATATTGGGTACTAACTACATTAACAAATTACCTTTTGTCCTGGGCATATTTTCCACTGGGGACATACAATTAGATGGAACCCAGTACTGAGCTATACCCTCAGCCCTTTTCATTTATTTGTTTTTATTTTGGGATAAGGTCCTGCTAAGTTTCCCAGGCTGGCCTCAAACTTCCTATCCTCCTGCCTCAGCCTCCAGAGTAGCTGGAATACAGGCATGTGTATTCCACACCTGGCAGGTAACTCCAGTTTTAATGATCATGCCCTAGGTTTAAAAAGGAAGGCTGGCTCCTCAGGGAAGACTCCCAGAGGAGAGGCCTTTCTCTTCTTGCAGTACTTTGTGGCCACCCATCTGGTATAGTATTCCTTGGATGTTCCCAGTGTGGACGGTAAGTGGTTTATCTCCCAATTTTAATCCGACAGATAGATCTAAAGGTCAACCGAAATATTCAATCTGTAGTGCATTTAGATACAAGTTTGTTTTATAATAAAAATGACAGAGTTCCAAAGCCAATATACTACATGTGGTATGTATTTGCCACTTCCATGCTATTCTTTCCTTTCTTGGCCATTTCATTAGGTTTTTTTTTTTTTTTTTTTTGGTACCGGGGATCGAACT